TTGCCCACCATAACCAGACTGCTTCCGGTCATAACGCCTCTTGCCTTGAGCTGAAATGCTGTCCTTCCCCTTCTTGTACTGAGTCACCTTATGCAGGGTGTGCTTCTTGCACTCCTTGTTCTTGCAGTACGTTTTCTTCGTCTTCGGAACGTTCACCTGAAGCATCCAAAGAACGAAATTTGAAAAACGAGATCATAAGCGGGGCAGCCTACCATCAGAATGGAGCAAAAAATACGGCATCCGTTGGGGGAAAAAATGCGAAACCATTAAATCTTTATTCGAGCTTTAATAGAGAAAAAATTGAGGCAGTGTCGTACACGATACACCATAACTCTACTAGTTCATCGCAATGCCAAGGGATTTTATCCCAAAAAAAAAAACCCAATGTTTGCTAAGGTAATAATAATCAGGCTAATTTTTTTTTCTTCCTAAAATAACCAAGCGAAAAATGCTCAATCGAGCACAAACAAACACCACAAAGCAATCCGTTAAAAAAGCGTGCAAAAGAAATAACCAGAGAGCAGAGTACCATGGCGTGCTGATCTACACGATGAGTTCTCCGAAATCGGCGGCCGTTCGGAACCCTAACGAACCGAGCGGTGACCACGATTTATATAGTACACTTTCTATTCCCCTCCTTTCGGAAGTTACAAAAATGCCCCTCCGGGTATCGGCCCACGTAATATTAGTTAGGGCGCAACTGTAAAGGCCCGCTTCGGCCGTAGCTTTTTCTGAAGCCCAAGTCATGTAACCCGCTATTGTCTCTGGCCTTCCCGCAGCCGGTTTACTCAAAATTAAAGGGTCTTCGGAGGCCCCCGTGGTTAGAGGGAATTTTTCCAAATTCTGACCTAATCTAAAAAAATTTATTAAAACCGACCTAGTTTCAGCCGTCTGGTTGAAACTGGGTCGGTTTTGACAAAATATATTCCGAAACTTCACGGAACTAGAAGTTTTGTAATGTACAAAACCGACTTAGTTTTAGCCCGACGGCTGAAACTGGGTCGGTTTTCACAAATATTTTGCGAATGTGTCGATTTTTACAGTTATTTTCTCAAATAGGATGGTTTTCAAAATTTGTCCTTTTTTTTTAATTAACCCAATAATGATAAACTTTTAGCAAAGTAAAAGCCTATTTTCCCCTCCGCTTCAGCGGAATAGTCTTTTTTTTTAAGGGATCTGCTGTTCTTTTTATGTTGGCTCCTCTATTGCGAGGAGAACAAGCAAGATCGTCGCGGGGGGATCGTACACGGATGCTGGCGTCCTCGATCTAAAAGCCCGTGATGGCTCTTTGGAAAGAGATCAAATCTTCTCGACCTGAGAGAAAATATTATCGGTCCTAATTAAGAGGTCAATAATGCACGAGCCGAAATAAGAGGTGGATAACGCGAGAGTCGAAACGCAATGGAATAGAGCTTTGCTACAGGGACCCAAAATATAGGACCAATCAAAGGGACAAGTGAGGTGTCCCCCATCTATTGGATAATGAGTTGGCCATCATTAATGATGGCTAACTCATTATCCAATAGGAAGAGGACACCTCACTTGTCCCCTCTATTGGTCTCATATTTTGGGTCCTTAAAGAATTTTTCAATGGAATAAGAGCTTTGCTACAGGGACCCAAAATATGGGAACAATAAAGGGGACAATAAGATGAGCCGAGAAAACGACATGACCCATTTAAGGTTAAAGGTGCAATTAAAAACCAAGATCCCACCATCGGGTCGGATCAAGCCATCTGCGTGAGCGGGTCTAATCAGCGTGGCCTTTTTAGGCTACGAGCACCACCCTCTATTTTTTTCTTACTATTATTATTATTATTTAAACCTTAGATGCGATGTGGAGGTGGCGAAAGGTGCTTTAAGATACGCTTTTTATTGGTCATGGGATTGGATGCCGATACTAGATTAATTATCTTCGGTATGGGTCCTGCGAAGAGTCACGCGTGACTCATCAACCAAGCAACTTGTTGAACGAAATGTTTGATAATATTCCTTCTTAATTTGTTTTTCCAGATCGACGGTGGAAAAGTCTAATGAGGCATCGCAATGATAAAAGATGGTATCGATAAGATTTATGCCTTGTGGCCTAAAAAGGTTAGAGGTGTGCAACGGTCGGTTCGGTTCGGTTTTTACCGAAATTTGAATAACCGAACCGAACCGCCTATAATTCAAAACCGAACCGAACTGTTGCAAGTCGGTTCGGTACGGTTCGGTTCGGTTTGTTCGGTTCTAACTTCATCAAACTTCTTATCAAACAACAAACTGTGTTAAAAACAAATATTAACAAAGTAAGAGATTATGAAGCATTAAACACTGATATAATGATATTATTTTCAACCCATAATGATCCAGAAAATGAGTTTAGAGTTTGAGTCTTTGACTCTTTGGGGACGGGTCGGGTAGGGTTTGAGATCAAAATGGATAGTATTGCACTATATTCGGTCGGTTCGGATCGGTTCGGGTTAAAAAGTTTTCAAACCGACCCGAACCGTCCTACTCATAAAACCGATTTTTTCGGATCGGTTCGGGTCGGTTCGGTCGGTTTTTTCGGTTTGGACCGAACCATGCTCAGCCCTAAAAAAGGTTACCGGTCCAAATCTCAGCAGCGATCTCTTCGGATGCAAGAGTAACTATAATCCTGTCGAGAGCCCACGGACCGTGAGAACCTTCAGAAGAATCATTCAACATGTGCCATTAAGAACCCAACGTTGATCCTCATAATGACGAGTATATTTTGCGTAACAAGCCACAACGATTGAAGTTCGCATAGGGCCTCTTAACGGACGTCCAACTAGTTGGATCCTTAGCGGGCCAAGGTCCACAGTAGTCTTATAAAATCTTAATTGATGGGCGAAAAGACTATTTTTGTTATCGAGTTTATTTATTTTATAATCATTAGATAAATTAATGACTGGAAGTCTTAAATTACATGTTTTTTGTTTGTCTATAAAAGCCAAATACAATTGTGACCGCTCGATGTTTTCCTTTTTTTTTACTTTTATTTATTTATTTATTTATTGTAAGAATATAAAACCAGAGAGATTCTACTAAAAAAAATCAATTTTTTGTCAGCGTATGAGATAGGATAACGACAAGTTCTTCATCATCCTTGTGGAAAAATGACTAATGCTCGGCTCTGAATGCTACAAAAACTAACTGAACCTCCGTTAGCACGCGGCGACCATGGGGTGGGCCTGGCCGGTCGTGGGCCCCATCTCGACTGAACCATGTACAGCGATCGTATGATTCTTTGTTTCTCTATCCATTTTGATAGTGATTGATGACCCCCATGAATTATTAGACTCTTACAAAGTAAATTGTGGCAGCAAAGATTTCCCCAGCATTTCTTGAATCCTTGTCCACAATTTAACGAGTAATTACTTTGGACCATAAATCATCCGTGCGAAAAAAAAGCAACACATTTCTTTCAATCGAAAGAGGAT